TAAATACTTACTGTATATCATAATGACATACTATGCAACCAATCAGAGACTGACTAGCTACTCACCAAACATGCTTATATTTGGTAGGGAAAAACTGCTCTGTGTGGATTTGATGTAGTCCTTCCTCTGCAGAAGATGTGCCATAGTTTTCACACAAATATGTGGAATGACTACTACCTGAATTGGCCAAGGTGCATGAGTTTGAATGCCAACAGTTAAGAAAGACTATCGTATCCCAGTTTGCCCCTGAAGGAGAAAGGTCCTACTTTTGAAAGCACTCGGGTTTCAGAGTTTTTATCATTTTATATTAAGACTTCTTGAACCTACGTGTTTTCCTGACGTCGTGATTACAGAAGAAGAAATGTTATGGTAAAACAATCCAATAATATCAATTCCAGTGTGGAGACAGGCTATAGCTTTGGTACGTGCCAGTGGCACAAAAGCAACTCTGCTCCAATTATATCGGTTAATTAATATCTAGTACTATGACAAATGGGCCCACTGATGTATGTGATACAGCAGTCACGTAGCATGTATAAGCACATAGAGCATGTTGACAAGCTGAAATTATACACCACTGACAAATTTCTTGTGCATTTGGAAGATGACAATAATACTGCTTCCTACCATCTCAACTTACCCCAACTTAAGTACTTGCCTGATTATGCATGATAAGTCAAATGAGGAAGTGAGTGAGGAGATGCTGGATAACTCTAGTGGTCAGCTGATGATGACACACTGATCATTATGGCAACATTTTAAGTATTATTTGAAGATATGTTCCTGATATTTTCATTAGTGCCAAACAATAAGTGTTTCAGTTTTGACATTTAAATGTTTGGCAGATAGTAGATTTTTATAGAAGAGATAAGAGTAATGACTAGACTCATTATGCTAGCAAGGAAACAGTTTTACTTATTGTTTTGCTAGTGATAGTCAGGAATATTTCAATTGAAATATCTAAAAATAAATTAAATTGTATGTGCACATTGTTTTATTTGTTTATGATTGAATATTTTCAATCGTGTACATGGAAGTATTCAGAAAAGCATACAGTATTTTGAGCATTTTTTAACATTAGTGCTATATAAGATGCCATTAAAATGCTTGAAAATGCAAACTGTATGAGTATAGCTGGAGGCAAAATGAAAGTATTGCTTTGTGCTTGCTTTTAGCTGTGTTGAGTTGTATATGAAAGGAACTTGAGAGAAAACAAAATTTCAGTGTTAATGAATTCTCAAGGTCATATAGCCGAGATTAGCACTCATGCAGTGACAAACCTAATTTTGGCAACTTGTGCAGGAACCAAGGTTTAAAGTCTTGCATCGCCTTCTCCCATTTTTACCTGCTTGACCCGGTCTCTGTTTAAAAAAACAACCAGATGGTAGTGTAAGGAGCGTGGTTGAGTTCCAGAGTAGCTGTGATCTGTTACCGTGGCAGTGACAACAATATAAAGAGTACAGCTGAATAGTGGTCAAATATGAGATCTGTTGATGCATGGGCAACATGAACATCCACAGGTATAACTGATTACATTTTCTGCAGGCAATATATGTGTGTGAGTACAGATAAGCTTATAGAAATGTCACTTGACCACAGTAATAGTTAGAATAACTTGTTCAAATAAGAAATTTTAGGACAGAGAATGATGGTAATTGGGCTGATAAAACTTTAACCTGTACTTTTGACAAAGATTTCTGATCAATCAAAGTTTGGTTGACTTTACATTTTTAATCCTGACTCTTTCCGTTTAAGATAAAATGCTTAACCCTTCTAATCGTATTGTTTTCAACTAGCCATTTGTGTGCTCATTCTAATCAGTGTTGTAAGTCAAATTCTTATTACTGCAGTAAGTTATGGAAGGACAATATAGGGAGAGCTTCAAGGATGTATCCAAATACCACAAGGTATCCAAAACCCTGGAGGCGAGCCTCACCTTCACTACAGCAGAGTCCATGGATGAAGATACATTCAACCTGAGAGATCTGCCCTTGATTACCAACAGACTAGTTTTGAAGTGCTCTGGAACCACCAACCATGATCACAGATGTGCCACCCACCACTGTGACAATAAAGGAGTGTCCATTGGAGGTAGAAACATCAGATAACTCTAAAAAGCAAATGACCAGACTCTTTGCTGTCCAGCCTAAAGTTTAAAAAATGTCGGAGAGCCAGGTAATACCTTAAGTGTGTAGTTGGGGTTGTTTAATGGAAAAGACCTGATGTCACCTGATTTGCCTCCACCTCTGGCTGGTCCATCACATTTTCCAGTCAAGAAGAACCCTCCTGTAATTAAAGGTGTCGGGGAGATCATCCAAGCTATGGAAGAGTCAACTGAAAGATGACCACCAATGAGCAACTGATAACAGAGATGGCCTCACTAAGTCTTTCCATCAACATGAAAGTCTTCAACTTGGTGTCTGGTTCTGCTTCCACTGACCCACACCGAGAAACAAAGCTTGCAGTAGGAAAAACCAGAAATAAAAAAGAGACTCTGCCGTCAACAAGCAGCCAGGTGGACAGAGGTCTGGGTGCTTTATAACTGGGGGAAAATTGATTGTTGAAATGCAAAGGGCCACCATCAAAGATGAAGGGAGTAGTATGTCGACCTAGGGAAAGCTGGTGAAGATGGAAGACCCTTACGAGGGCCTGGGGGATTATTTGCCAGACTACCACTGTAAATTCATCATTTAATTGGAAAACCTACTGCTAAGGCTTTTCTACATAAGTCGCTCTGCTTTATTTCGATAAACTTTCATACGTATGTATATTTGTGAACATCTTTGTTTTTTTTAAATAGTTATTATTTATTGTAAATATGCTGCAAGATTATCATCCTTTTCTTCTTATTTATTATCATCATTGGGTTTGTTCTTTGCGTTGTATATGTACATATTTAATATTTTTCCCTTTTGTCTGTGCTCAATGGTTATTCAACACTTAGACAACTTTTTTGTTTAAAAAATAGTTAGTATTTTATATTAATGTTGTAAGGGGTTTTATTGGATTTTATCAAGGGTGATTTCATTTTGTGTTTAGATTTTTGTAGTAGTATATTGTGCTTGTTTTGTATTTAAATTTAGTTTTTAATGAGTTTTTAATTACTTTATTTTGTTAGTCATTCTCTCACAAAGCGAATTTTCATTATTGTATTTTCGTTTTCGTATGGTTGTTAAATGGTCTTGTTTTCTGTTTTATCGTTAATAAAGGGTTTTGGTCATTTTGTTTAAGTTATTATCGTTTTTCAAGGTTTTATTTTGATGTATTTTATTTTTTCACCTCCTCCTAAAGGAGATGTTTTATAATTGTTAAAGCATGTTTTAATAATGTTTTGTGCTTGATGTTAAATATTTTTTTGACTTGTTTTAATGGCTTAATTGTTTATTGTATAATGCTTGATTTGTTTTCTCAAATATTTTGAATTGTTCTTGTAAAGTTATTTTACATGTATTGTTCATATGTATTGCAGTGTAAGTGTAGCAAGCATACCACACTAATTTGGATGTACGAGGCTGTATTGCATTCTATTAATGTATCAGAAAACGAAAACATTAAACTAATTTAGATGATCTTTTTTTAGGTTCCAAGCTTCTAAAAACAGCCAATTTTGCTGTATTTATTTTACTAGAGTATCCTTTTCAATTCCATGGTATTCTCAGTATTACGTAACATTATTTTTTACATCATTTTTGAAAGTTTTCAGTGCTGAACGAAGAATGAAAACCATATTCAAGAAAACGACAGATAACTTCAATGGAATGTGTGTGTTTTTTAAATTACATCAAATATTTCGGCTTACGCCTTTATTTTTCTAGGGTCTTTGTAGGACTTGTGACCAAATGATAATAATATGTGACACTCAAAGACCCTCGAAAAAAGTGTAAGTCGAAATGTCAGGTAAAGTAAAACAAAAACAAAAAACAGCATTTCTCTGAAGTAACATTATTATTATTATTATTATTAAACAAAATGAAAATTAGAACTTCCCGAACCCTTTACCCCTGACTACGTTCCTGATATCTGGTAGACATACTGTCATTAGAAGCCTTTAGTGTAGTTAAACACAGTACTGCACTGTATCGAACTGGCTAGGACAATGTAGCAGTAGTTGCAAAATGTACAACGAACAGCTTAGTTGCCTGAACATGAATAAAATATGAAGGATTTAACCTTGCCACAATGGGATTTTACAATATGGCGTTTGTCTGGTTAGTATAGTGTAAACAGCAGGTACTTGTCCATTCACATTATACTGAGAAACGGGAACGCTTGAATATGGTTTTGCTAAGGCTATTGGTTTCGCTGTTACCTGCTTGTACATATGATAGTTCATGGAATTAACGTTTATTTGTGGTCCAAAAAGGGGGATTATTCTACCCCCTCTCCCCCTGGTGAGGCTCCTGATGTTGGTCAACTTTACCTTGAAATATCCAGGCACTTTCATCTTTTACGAATATGGAGTGCTGTTTTATGGCGTGAATGAGCCCTGGCAGGAGGTCGACTTAAGCCAACATCCAAAAGAAAAGTAGGTGTAAGGTGCTAATACTAAAGTTAAATTTTTACACTTTTTATTTGGTGATATGATAAATTTATAAAATGTTTTATGATCATTCATCGCGAAACTTATACTGTGTTTTCTACATAATGAATATCTAGTTGTATTTGACATTGGAATTTTCACAGTTTTACTTTATTAACATAAGATGCAGAACAAAAAATGATGACACATTTACGTTCCGCGTGAAGTGGAACTGGGATGTTGCGTCAGCACATTTATAGTCTGTGAGTGACTTTATAAATAATTATACGATGTTTTCTTCCGCGAACAAATAGGTCTCAGTTGACTTTTGAATGACATTTTTCAGCAATTATTTAATATAAAAGTTCAATATCAGTGTTATCCTTTAGGTTAATTAGTTTACGAAATTATAAAAAAAGTTATAAAAATAAATAAGATGCAATGAGTTATTTTTCGGCAAGATGAAATGCGAATCGTCGGTCGGGTTACTACGCTACCGATTCCGTCTTTTGCTGTGTAGTGATGGCCTTGTCGTGTCTGTGAGCTGGCTGTGTGCGTTGTTTCTGAATGGGGTTGGCCTAACTTAATCTATTACTATTAGGGTAAATCTTACGCAAATTTTGCCAGTATTCTGTGTAAGATTATCTTTACCGTTTTAACTATTTCAAGTTTGGCCTCCCCTACTCAGAAACAAGTGAACGGTAAGAGTGTTATTTATCCTTAAGCATAAATAACTTTCTTAGTTGTACTCAACTTGTAGTGGTATTGTTGTAGATACGTGACGTTGTATACGTATGGTGATACTATTACTAATAGTAATGCTAGTATTAGTATAAGAATGAGTTCATTTGCGCAGTAGCATTGTAATTTGTAGCAACATCGTAAAGCGTGAATTTTCTCGATTTTTAAGTAGAAACACGTCAGTTTTAAAAGATCAAAATTTAATTGTGCAAGTTTAAGCGCTTGGTTGAGCTTTCGAGTTTCATAATATTAATAAGGGTAAGTGAAACGTGATACTCATAAATGGTACGATTAATATGTGTTCAGAGGAACGCATGTTATTTACGTTTCTCATTGAATATCATATATTGGATCAGGATAATATTAATAATTACAGTACTTCATTAAGAGTCCAGAGTATTAGTATTAACGGTATAGTCTTACCCTAAGTAACACAAAATTCATGGCCCAGCCCACCCTTTTTAATTTTTTCTTTTAACATCCAGCAAGTCAAAAGCATGTCTGGAATCCTAACTTTGAGCTAATTCTTACCCTGGTTTATCAAAAGTTAGTGGTGAAGGAACTTCAGCGCGAACAAAGGATCGTAGTGTTAGGGCCATTTACGGTTTACAGGTACGCGAGGCGGTGCTTTACTAGCCTTTAGACTTTAGTGAACATATTATTGTAGATAACACATAGTAAGTATAACTATAAGGTAAGAGAGAGAACTTTCATTCCGACATGTTTTGGTAGCATAACAATTAAACATTGTTTTGATGTGTACTTGGATATATGTTATTAAGTATTTCTGTTCATTAATTGTTGTTTGATGAATGAAATTGTGAGACTGGTGTCATTTAGTTAGTTTAGTTTGCATAGTTATTCATAGTGAATAACTAGTAGTAGTAGTAAAAACAGTTAGAAGAAAACTTACCTAAAAGTTTATTTTTATAAATTTATGTAATGTTTACATACTTGTTTTAAGGCAAATAAAACATATTGCTGAAAGTTATAATGATTAATATTGCATGTCTTGTTCAATAGTTCTTTATGATATATATATAAAATGAATGTTCGTTTTTTGTTTTAGGTCACCCATGGAATTCAGTTTTAAAAGATCAAACTAATTCCCTGATGTTAGATTTCAAAGTTGGAAACGCCAGTCTCAAACAGTAATTGCCAAAGTATATTTATGGGAATATTTGTCACCATTTGTTGAACCAGCAAATTCAACAGTGAAGAATCAAACAAAATTACTGATTTTATGCAAAGATAACTCCACTTAACTAATGAGAAAAATGAAAACTTATGACTGCAGAAATCTTTGAAAAGATTACTTTTATTTAAAATTTTTTAATGTAAATTTGGCAACTTCCTTGTTTCCTCATGAATGTTTTGCGACCACCCCTTCTGAATTTGCAACACTGTCGACTTAAACAAGAACATAACATTGAGAAGCGATGGGAAAATGGGGGAAAATGTACTGGGAGTCTAAGTCCAAATCTTCAACCTCCAACCCCACCTATTTTACCAAACACACAAGATCCTTTTACAGCAAGTGCTATTGGCAACTACATACTTCTTGAACAGTTTGATGGATCAACCTTATATCGTTGTATAAATGTAAAAACAAATGAGGAATACATATGTAAGGTGAGTATGCTAGAAATAATTATCTAAATAAATAAGTAATAGTTTGTGTATAATTAGAAATTTAGGTAACAGATAAAAATTCTTATTCTGTGAAATTTCAGCACAGGCTAACATAGAAAATTATAATTTAATAATTCTCTCACACATGGATAAAGCTTACTTATACTTGGTAACTGCTTGTGCTTATTTTCAGTATCAAAACAACTGTTCATGAAATACAAGGCAATATAATTACTAGAGTTTTGTAACCATGATACCATAATGGTGATGGTTCATACTATAGAGAATGTATAACTTTTCACCATATTTGTACTTATGTTACTTCAAAACATTTTACAAATTTTATGTCTATAGTTTGTGTGAAATTTGTTAAAAGTGAAAGAAAGGTTTTTTTTTTAAAGAAGTTCACCAGAATTTGGGAATGTTTATTAGCCTTTGTTTAAAAAGTAATGGGTGCTTAGTAATTTATGGAGGAATATAACATCTGAAGCTTAAGAAGGTGAATTCCAAATAAGAATGTCTATCACTTTTTGAAATTTCATTATAATATGGTTTGACATACATGCATGAGAACTACTAGTGGTTAAATTTCCCACACTTCTTTGATTTAATAATAATATTGATATTTAAGAAATTGTTCATGATGAAGTCCTTCTCTTTCATAAGAATTACATGATGTTATTGTGAAAGGAAGGTATTGAGGCTTGATTGTTGATAAAAGCTATCTTAACTTCTGGTCATAGATACAGAAGTGAATAAAATAACTAAAACAATTATAGTATTCATTTTATAGAAAGTATGAACTTAAAATAAGTTATTTCTCTTTATGCAAGTTACTAGGGAGGAGTTCTTAGAATACTGTGCAGTTTGATTGTCCATTTCGTATGAAAGAAATTGACCTGAAAAAGAGTACAGAGAAGGTCTAGTGAGACCTGGATCAAGAATATTTGAGTCATAAAGAGAGAGGCTTAGATTGGGACTTGCTTTCACTGAAGCATAGAACAGCTAGAAGTTCTTTGTTTCAGTTATTTAAAATTGTTTATGGTCTAATTAAAGTGCTTATCAAAAGTTTATTTAAGTGGTGGATTAACCCTCATATTACCAACTTTGTGAGTATACTGTACCATTAATTACTGGTGGGGCTCACTTATTGACTAATTTTATGCTCTTTTTTTTACTTGTTACAACATTAAGTGTCAAGAACTGACTAATGTAGAATATACGGTGACCTGAGCAGGAAATAGTGGAATTAATTGCAATAATGATTGTATTTTTGTTTACATTTTCTTTTTTAACTGAATAGGGGCCCTGTAACCAACAAAGTCATGTACCCACAAGCAATTTGATCCATAACTAGTTTAGAAAGATATGCTTTAAAAGCTGATGAGCTCCATATTAGTAATTCACTAAGGTTAATAAGATTGTTGTAGGGACTAAAATGTTATAAATATACCCTCTAAATTCAAATCTTAACTTTGTTTTAATTGAAATTAGTTTCTAAAAGTATTGAATAGTTATCCTGAGGAATCACCTGTGATATGTGATTTGTATGAAAATTTGTTTAAACAGTTTTGACAGATTTGTAGATATGAGAGGTTACAGTTATTTTTAACTGATGGTCTTGTTTGGATAACAAGTGAATGACTTCCACAGGCTAAATGGTCTTTTATCATCATGCTTTGTTTGTGTTCTTTCAAAAACATTGTATGTAATGTAGTTTCTGACGTTTTGTAAGTATTACTTTCAGAGACTTTGTAGAAGTATAATGAAATAGAGAAATATTAAATGTAAAGAAATAATATACGCTTACTGCTATAGGACCCTTCCAACAACTGTAGAACACTTCATTTATTTAATACTCATAACAGATTGATCATTTGATATGTTAGGTGCTTATTTAGTCCGTTAGTACACATTTAGTCACATTGTGGATAACTTTCAAGGTATTAGATAAGAGCAGATATCACACTGAGATTAAAAGGGGCATGATAGTAAGTGTTTTTCAAGTAAGTGTTATTGAAAGCTATTAATTTGAGTAACTTTTCAAAGAAATATTTATAAGTCTCTGTCTTGACTACTAAGGAAAATTGTGGCAACCAATTGCTAGAGACAAACCAAGGAAAAAGACAATGAGATAAGCTTGTAAGAAGCATGAGTGGTGATTAATGTGCTAACTTTGGAAAATACATATTTAGAAGCAGGTAATTGGGTCTGATTAATTGCATTTCAGCATGTTCTATACTGACAGTAGAGTAAGTGTATGGAGAAATTTGTATGATCAAAACATTCAACCGTGCTTGTGTTATAATGCAGTAAGCTTTTGGAGGTTGTGCAATATTGTAAAAAATATTCTTTTAGGAGGGATTAAGTTCTTTGATTCATTTCAAAAGATAACTTCCAGAGCATATCTAAATATTGCTGCTGATTGTGTCCACTTGACAATGCTACATTTTCATCCTGATGAAAAAGGGGTCTTTGATGATAATAATGTAACAATCCACTTTGCTTTTATTGTGCAAATGTGGTTCAAAATTATAAGTGTCTTCAGGATTTGTTTTTAACCACTGCAATAAATATATCAAAATGATTGGGCATTATCAAGATGAACTTTAACATTTTGGATTCTTTGCCATAATCACCTGGTAACCGATTAAAGAGCATACTTTTCAATGAATGGGTTACATTCAAATCGAACAAGACCCTTTTTGTGGCATTATCTTAAGTGTATGCCATACCATGTCCAGACTACATGTATTATTTGGGGAACAGGTGGTTCATTCTGCCATAAGGGGTGTTTTGTAATAATATGGCTAGTCAGAGTATAACTCGTAGTTATTGCCCACTACATTACTTACATTACATGTACAACCTTCCTCATCAACATTGTCTAATCATGACTTTTACTCAGAAACAGCTTTCAACCTTAGAAGCACATTTAAAGACTATTATAACAGAAAGATTGAAGTAAATCATTTATAGAAAGTTACGGTAACATGTAATGAGTGACACTGAATTAGAAGTCATCAAGGTGTACTACCGATGTTTGTTTCCAGGTGCACTTACAAATTGAAAAGGATGAAGTAATATGTCCATAAGGAAAGTAGTTTATAGTAATAATGATTAATTAACAAGTGTGATGAAATATTACAGTGTGACTAGGAATATTTTCAAATATTTCACCATGTAGACTTTATACACCCTGGAAGTTACTCTTAAATACAAATGACTGATTTAAAGAGAGTTTCATGTAATTTGTAAAAAAACAACAACAACTTAACAGTGATTTATATTCATAAAAAGGAAAAATTCAAGGGTGAGTCAGCAATATGCAAATCTGGAGTGTTTGCTAGTGGAATACATTGGTAACTTTGAGTTGGCTTTCTTGTCTGTTTTAAAAGCTCTTGTGTACATCCAAAAAGATTTCCATATACCATTTGTATATTGTATAAATACATTCATATAACAATATGTACTGTAAGAATGATTGTGTTTATCTGTGGTTAATCCTCGAGTAAAGAGTATCAAGGAGGCAATAAATACATCCAGTTTATTTCATCCAATACTTCTTGTATGGAGATCATGCTTAACTGTTACTGGCATAGGTAGTTGCAGTCTCTAGAAATATTTGTATCTGGGAATACATCTTCCAGAATGTCATGGCAGTATAAGTGCTTGCAACACATTTCTCTTAAGAATTTCAGTGTGATGGCACTTTGTTTCCTGCCTGTATATTGAGGTGCGGTCATGGAAATTATTGTAACCAAACCTTATCATTGGTGGCAAAACATTCATAATGAAATACAACTTTGGTGTTTTATTCTTTTATACTAAAAGAAAATCCTCTACTTATTTACCCAGGAAGGTCTGTTTGTTGCTAAGCTCAAATTTTTACAATTGTCTACCTATGCTGTGCCCACTACAGGTATCAAACTCCAAATTTTATCATTAAAAACCCTCACCCTCCTGAGTCATTGGAGGATCCTAGAAGGTGTGTGATTTCATTGTGGTCATTTATTTATGGAAGCATTACATTTAATGTTGATGGATGGAACTTTTGAACATAATAATAGCATCTTTGGAGTTGTTTGAAACAGGTAAGACCGTCCTGATCTTCATTCTTACTTGTTTCATCAGCACTGAGAATACAACCTACATTTTAATGTAGGTTAATAATGTTGTAACCAAAAATTCATTCTCTATAACATAACTTTTTGATGTCAAATCTTAATTAAAATTAAAAACAGTAGGTTCTTAAATTTCAAGGACTAAAGATCACTGCTCATATTTAGAAACAATAAATTAGGTATAGAGTACACAGGGCCAAAGTGGGTAATATAGAGTATGTATGAGTAAAAAATGATGAAATGTAAACTTAACTAACCTCTTCTGGTACTAAACATTTTGTGGTGGTTTTCCATAGAGAGATTATTTCTTTCATTTGTAAAATGGAGCAACCTGGTCTGTGTCTACATTTCTAAGATTATTTGTCTACTTGTATAATGATAGATCATGTGTGTTAAATGCTCCATATATATTACCTGTTACACAGATAGTAAACATTGTTTACTCTCATTATAAGTTATGCAGGGTTAATCTTGCTGACACGGAATTTGGTGTTATTCAAGCCATTATTTCCATCCAAATTAATCATGCCTATTGTTACACAGTTTGTCCTGCTATTATGATGTAAGCACCTTAGATACATTTTTTTTGTATAGTAGTTAATTAAGATGTTCATTATAAAAGGAGACGTAATACATGTTTCATATACTAGTTCACAATCTATAAATTATGCATATGGAGAAGAATCCTCACCATCACTTAATAGTATTTTATTATAAACGAAAGTTTTAGCTATATACAGTTATCACTTTGAATGAAACTCCTATTCTAGGCACATTACATCTAGTTTGTTTACTAACAAGGCAATATTTAAAGCAGTGTGTATTGAAATTGATTTTGAAATTTCAAATGTAAGTATTCACTATTTATGGCATTTA